CCACCAGTTCGTCGTTGGGTCACAACCACGATGCCTGACGATGCTTAGCCCCTCCCCCCCCCGTTTGAATGCTGCTATACCTGTTTGATTCTGACCAATAGTTGTTTGGGTCACAGAAAAAGGTATCCCTATAGGAAAACGCATAAAATGTTGCTGTTTGTTTGTTTGTTTGTTTGTTTTCAAATTGTTTCATCCCCATGCGTGCTAGTGTATCCATCTATGAATGGCGATCTTATATAAATGGCTTGATTTATTTATCGATTCCGTCATATCGGCTCTTAGTAATGAGGCTGTTAACGGAGGGGGGGGGGCGGAATTGAGGTCGTTGTTCTATTACACGTTCGATGCTTTGGGGGGCTGGGGAGTTACAAGGACAGTTATTCTACAGAGTTCCCCCGTAACTCTAGAGCGAAGTGCTTCAGTTGAAAGACTTTAATACCTACTACTTACGTTTGCCTGATTATGTCATGCTTTTCGGGATAAGTTAACTCTGCGAATCACTAAGATTTGGAAAATTTTTAGTCTTTTAACTTCTGTTTTTTTTTATTTATCGAGTATACAGTCAACTTTCACGAAGGGGACTGTGGCCATACAAAGGCGGTCTGGAAAAGAAATACAGAGACGGGGAAAACGGGCAGCGGTGAAGCGATTCGAACTCGGGACCCCCGGGGTCACAATTTGGTGACCATAACCATTTGGTCGCCACCGCCCAGGAATTGGGATTGAAAATAGCGTATACAGCACCACTCGGCTTTTTCCCAATTCATGTGTAACTAATCGGCAAGGTGGTATGTTTCTCCTGGACCAGTCGAGATGATCCATTGTATAGTCTACTCGCATCCTTTGGAAAACCTTCATGGCTTAATTGGTACAGGATAAGAAACGGCGACTTTTATGGTGGGTTTCAGCTGCTATGGTGTTTTATAGGGAGAGACGGCCTCCATCGTTCGTTCATGGCCACTAAATTGGTGAACCTGAGTCCGCCTTAGCCGAAGCTTGTCATCAACTTGGTGGTCGTTGCCCTACCCGCAATTTGAGAAGGCTTCAGGACGCCTGCAGTTCTGACTCTTGGCTACCAAACGACCATCAGAAAAACTTATAGCATGTTTGTGAGCCGTAGCATTGGAGTGGGCGGTATCACTGTTGTTTACTTCAAGTCACTCATGAATTACACTAAAACTTCGTGTATGATTCTTGTCTTTTGGGAGAGACCAATGCAATGCAATAGGCAGATACAGCATTGTTCTAAACTGTCCAAACACAATCTAATCAGGCCGATTCATGAACAGATAATCCTAAAACTGGAGCTTCTACTTTCTGTCGACTTTTTCTCCACACATCTTCTGTTCCTGGCCTCTATTTTCCTCTCCAGCCTCACACAACGTTGTGTTAAATACCGGTCTACTCGTCTCCTATTTCACATGATTGTAATTCGCCCTCATTCTGACTATTTCAGGATATGGTTAAATTATCATTCATACAACAAACTATTTGATTTGGAACAAGTTTGCAGAATTCCTGCACACACACACACAGAATAGCTGATGAAACAGTCCACTTTCAGCAGCCGCAGTTTGCTCCTACAGATCTTTTTGATTTTTGGTCGTTGAAAGAAACCGCTGATCGCATCTTTTTGCGTACTACTCACAAGTGCGTAGTATCTCACAACACTTTTACACTTGCTCTTTCTTCTATGATTAAAATATCGCTTGATTAGAATGCTGCTTTTCGCGCCAGTACGGTGTTTCCATCACCTTCACTCTGTACCGTCGCACAAACTCATCACTGAACGGTGTCCTAAAGATTGATTGGCTTGCCGACTAGTCCAACCACATAAAAAAATATATGTGAACCTCTCCTACTCTCGAAAACGCAAGCGAATTATATGCTGATTGGGGTTGCTGGCATGTGTGTCGTGTGTCGCTGAGTGAGCAGCTTTATGACAGGATGGCAGTGGTCCAGCGATGTGCCGGGTCGTTGTCGTTTCGCGCTAAAATTAGTGTGCGTTTGAATTCCATCGCCCCGAACTCCACTTAACTTACTCGCTTCTTTGTATCGGGTGACAACTTTTCAATTGGCTACTTTCCTTTCTTGACTGTGCAAATCAGCAAACAGGTGAAAAGCCCGAATTTGAGCTAAAAAGCGTGAGCGAAGGCGAACTAAGCGCGTCGACCCGACACACACATACACACACGCCCACAGTTGTACATTTACGGGTTATTCAAAGGGAGATGTCAAAGTTTACGGTTACATTCATTCCCTATCCCGTTCTCGCACATGCACAGTAAAGCAGAAAAGCTCTTCTCTTCGACCATCCAACGGTACTATACCCTATACATATTGAAGCTAGATACTGATCATGTTCGATTTTTATATGAGAGTAGAACCGTTTGCACCATGTCATTGACATTTATTCATTCCTTTTATGCTGGGGGCAGTGAATACTAACTGGCCCAATGAAAGGTTGTGTGTGTGTGTGTCGAGATGTACACGCAAGATGAGCAGTTCTATTCCAAGTTGTTCATCGCCTGATAAAGCAAACCCTGAACATAATTGTCTTCTAGTACGGCTCCATATAGCCTAGTCTGACATTAGCGAGGGCCCCGAAATGGCAATTAATGACGCCCCGTATCGATTTGATCACCCTAAAGGTCACGTGTGGTTCCCGTAGGATCAACTCCCTTCCTCCCCCACACTCTCGCCGCCAGATTTGGCGGATGAGGTAAATGACATTTATCGTATACCTTGGGAGAAAACCGTGGAGGCATTAAAAAATCCATATTTGGCAATTAATCGGATGCTTATGAGAACGATTCAGTTGCCCATGTTTCCTTTACAAAAAAAAGGAAAATAAACCAAACCTCTCACATTGTCATCTGATCGGTTTCAGGTTGAATACCACAGACACATGTATACCATTTGGCAAGGCCAACACTCGGATCCTTTATCTCAACGAGATCTCGCTTTTTTCTGTATTTAAGAGAGATGATGGACTTGTGATAATTGATGTTTGTGAGTGTGTATGTCTGTGCGTGTGGAAAGTGAGAGAGAGAGGGTGGTTGTGAATGGTTGGGTAGGTTTGGACGTCCAACCCGGTCTTCTGTACGCAGACTAAAGATAGATTACCCTCGAATGCGACCTCATTTTGTGTTTATCATTTCACCTGTTCCTGTGGAGCAAGTTTTATGGGTCGAACGGTGAGGCGTCTATCTGATCGCGTCAAGGAGTATCACCCGGTTCACTGGAATCAGGGATTGACAAGGACCGAGGCNCGGTCAAGGGTAAGAGATTATCCAAAGAGGTCACGTTCAGAATTTTATCAACAGCCGAGGTGATTGCCATCCGTCTCCACGCACCCCCCTCCCCCTTGTGCGGCCATAACCAGTTTGTCAGGACATTGGTCTTAGCATGGCCATTCACTAATAATCTGGTGATGTAAGCTCCGTTCATGTTCAACCATTCATTCACCTACCCACCCATTCACAACTACCTTCTGTCTCTCACTTTCCACATACGAACACACACACATACATACTCACAAACATCATTTGTCACAAGTCGATCATCTCTCGTTAAACTCTGATTTCCTTTGCAGGTATTTGCTTCTTGTTGCTACCTGTTTTACTTTTTTCGGTATTGTCAACAATTGGCTGCATGTGCCTTTCATCTCATCTCATGTGCATCGCGCTCGTATTTATTTAACCCTTACTCACAACTGTACAGGTTCGGATGCCAGTTGGTGGGTTCTACGCAGTGATTATCGTCTGCCGTCCGAAGAGGAAGTTNCATGCTGGCCGCAGAGTTACGTTTGAAAGATGCCGGTTACGGAGAAAAGTCGATTTTTGTCCTAGACGAAAATCAAGAAGACGAGGAAGAGAAAGAGGGTCAGGTAAACGCTTTTCGTTTGATTGTTAATCGCTGCCAGGTATTCTGTCGCATCATTACCACCACCACCACCACCCGATGTTTTGACGTACTACTCACATTATGTGTTAGTAGCATGTATGGCACATTCATCAGGAACAGTGGATGATTCTCACCATTGTCAACAGTGAACGAACTGTTTCGCGTTACACACGTGCTTTGTTCTGTATAATCCGACCTACCCCACCCCTCACCGCTCTCTACCTCATTTCGGCTCTGAACTCGTGGATTTATAACACTATCGACGAAAACCGGGCCAGTTTCCGTTTCACATTGTGCATCCATATCGACCACGTTTAGCTAAATCCAATTCGACTCCTAATTTGTTTGTTTGAACCATCGCGAATGTGGACCGATTCAGTCGTTCCTGTGCACACATGTTGATTCTGACCACACTCTGTCCCGGGATTTTTCGCTCCTGTCCCGCGTCTGTTCACCGGTAGCACACAGTAGTGTTCACTAACGATGACCACTGTTGATCTGTTTGTCTTACAGTGTTTGTTTCGTTGACCACAGATAAAGGCGACAAGTATTGTCCGATGCAAGCATTCAATTAACTTGCCTCTGACATCTAAGTAAGCAGGCAAAGTATGTCAATTTGTGGGATCAGAGTAAACATTGGCCCGAGGGGAGGGCATCGAGGCAAACAAGAAATATGACTGTGTTGGTTACTGAATCGATCCCGTGAATGCACGAGCTGGAATGGGGGCGCACACCCAACTTCAAACTGGAAAGATATTTCTGTTACGATCTCTCTCTCTCTCTCTGTCTGTGTGTCACATACAGCAAGTCAATGTTTGCCTACGACCCATTTCAACCGCAATGAGGCTTCCTATTCAACCGCTCACGCTGTTTTGTGATGTTTCTTCGCCGTTTACTACGTGCCAGATATATTCATTTACAACCTCACCGTACACGAAAACTCGTAGCAGAATTGGAGTCTACTGTATTCATTCATTCAAGTTCATCAAGCTCTCTATGAGG